GCATTTGTACATTCAACTAACAATACACTCGTTTATCAATCATCCGACCATGACACCAATTTTATTATGAAGTGTGTTGATTGTCAACAAATAAATGAAAAAAAAAAGAGAAAGGAACATACTCTTGCTGATACCTACAACAAGTACAGTCAAAGTCCATTGTATGCAATTCTTATCTTACGATATCATTAAAAAATATCTAAAACAAACAAACAAAAAACAATCAATTTGTTAACAACAGAAATTTTGTTTTTTTTTTATCTTTCATATTTTGTTTTCTTTCGTTTTCTTTTTTTTTTGTATGATTATAAAACAAACAAACAAACAAAAGAAAAAAAATATAATTAATTTGTAAATAACCGTATGGTTGAATCGGCACCTGATGTAAATATCCATGGTTGTGTTGGATGAAATAAACAATCTAATATAGATAAATCATTAATTATTTGATGTCCACGTAAAATTTTAACTGGTACAATAAGTGGATTCTTTAATAGATCAGAATAAACTGAACAATGTGAAATAATACATGTACCATCATCACTCGTAGAAGCAAATAATGGTAATCTTGTATGATAACGTATACAACGTATAGCACGTTTATGATAACGATATGTTTCATATGGTTTAACAGATAAATCTAAATCAAACCAATTGATTTTGGAATCGTAACCACCACATATAATATTATCACCTAATGGATGTATATCAATAGATGATATCCATTTTGTGTTAACATAAAGACGTTTAATTAATTGTTGTTTTAATAAATGATAAATTTTTATTGAATGTTGTGTTGCTATGATAAATATTGGTTTTGTTGGATGAAAACGTACATGTTGTACAGCACCTTTTAATTGTTTAAATGGATATTGTGAACGTCCTTTAGATAAATGATGAATTAATATAGATTTTGATTGTGATTGATCTGAACGTGGTGCTAAAATACATGCTAAATAATCACCACGTGCTTGCCATTCAATTTGACGTATTGGCATTGAATGTGTAATTGTTAAACGAATATATTTATCATTTTCATCCGATGTTTTAACCCATTGACAATCATCAGTTGCTGCTGATGATGATTCATATGCTAATTGTTTAATAAATTCATCAGTAAATAATACTTTAGCATTTTCACCTAGAAAAAAAACATTTTAATATGAAAAAAACCAATTGTTTTACAATATTCATTTTACCTAATCTTGGATTAATCATAACAATTTGTGATCCTGTAGCAACAGTTAATAATGACAAAACAGGATTCCATTGAATCGAAACAATAGGTTTTTCAAATGTAAATACATTCATACATCTTGTTGTTGCTATTTCCCATATTCTAACCGTACAATCATCACTTCCACTTGCTAACCATTGTCCAGATGTATGACATGTTAAACAACGTATAATATTCTTATGTCCTTCATATATTAATGATTGAACTAATGGATATGGATGTAAATCTTGTGGTTTTGGTTTATCAGGTATAAGATCATTAATATCTTTAATATTTGCTTTCAAACGTTTTTGTCTTGGACATAGATAAAGATCAAGACAACGTTGAAAACGTTCATAAACAAATTGATCATAAGCAGGTACTTGTCGAAGACTAGGATATTTCTTTGGTACAAAGATTGTTTTTGTTGCACGTTCATTTTCATCAAAATCTGATTCCATTTTAGCTTTTAATGCTTCAACTTCAGCATCATCAAGTAAATATTCATACGATGGATTATAAGATTCATGATGACCAGGTAATTCAAGTTTAGGTGCTGGAATATTTGAACGTGGTAAATTCGTTCTTGTTTCATCCGACCATAAATCATAGCTATTTGATGAAAGTGGATCTTCTTTTGGTGGTGCTGGTTTGATCCAACCCATTTTAATAGCATGTAAATATTTTCCAACTTTTAATCGTTCCCATTTTGATGGAATAAATGATGCTTTAGATTCTGGTGTATTTAATATTGGATGTATCATTACTTCAGATGAAAATGTATCTACCCATGGTTCATAAACATGATCATCTGGATATGTTTGAGCATTTTTTATTTGTTGAATTACAGCTATATCTTCATTTGTTAGTGTTACATTTTGTCCAGTTAAATCATCATAAACAGTACGCCAATAATCAGCATTTTCCATTTTTTCAAGAAATTCATCGATTTCATCTGATTTACCAGCTGATACTGGTTTAGCAATTTTTTTAGCTTCTAAATCATAACCAATATGTTCATGATTTTCATACCATTTTAATGGTACATTTTCTCCAATTGTATTTGATGGTACTTCTTCATCGGAATCAATTTCATCATTTTCTATCAATGAGTTTTTTCGTTTTATTGATGTCATCTTTTAAAACGTAAACTAAAAAATAAATGAACAAAAGAAAATAACGTTTTATTTATATGATTGGTTTTCGTACATTGATCAATGTAATTTCTAATGTATTGAGCGACATCTATAGAATAACTTTGAGAATTTTAAAAAATCAATTGAAATTAAAGGCATTTTAAAGAAAAATTACTATCTAATACTCTAGTATTCAAAAGAATGAATATTAATTAATTTAGTAATACAATATAATACATATATGTGAATCATTGGTTTTTCAAGAGAGTCTCTAGTGTCTGGTCGAGATAGATGATACAGTAATTCTTCTATTTGAATGTTTTTTAGACTTATTTTTATTTCAAAATAATAGTTATGTAGTCTAACTTGAAAACAAACGATGTTTAATATAGCTTTATTAACATTAAAAATCTTCAATAGTTGGGAAAAGATTTTGATCTTTATGATTTTGAATCTCACTGCTTGCCTAGGTTATGATCTATGATCATCGATAATCTATGAAAATAGATATTATCAATTAAAGTGTCATAGGTTGATGTGTACTTTGATGATGCTCTAATCTATGATCAGTGCAAAAATATAATTAATAGTTTTACTTTCTTTCATTCAATATCTCATTTACTTAGTTTTTTCTTATCATATTTCTATTCATTAGATTACATATAGTTATATAAGAAAGTATGATTTCTATTTCCTAGATATCCTATCTTTCTGTCGAATGACAAGTACACACAGGATATATTTAATGTACGACATCTACTGCAAAGACATGAATATCATTTCATTTTATCTTCTCTCTCTATGCCTTATAAAATAACGTTTTTTTAAACTTTAACAGGATTCGAATTACATTGATTTACATTATAAAATAAAAGATGTACAATACAGAGTCTCTGATACTGACATTATAATAGTAAAACTTTCATTATATATCATTTTATTCGAAGTATATAACAGATTGTCTATGTTTAAAAAAATGTCAACTTATATACACTGAAATATCCTATACCGCTAAGTTCAAAAAAAAGATACAATATATAACATATATCTTGAAAGATTAGATAAGACTGATAATTTCCGGTGTGGGTGTGTGTGTAGCATCAATATTTTCCCTAAAGGCATTGATTTTCAATTTTGAAGAGAACACACACTATCATTGATCAACATAGATTTGTTTGATTCGTTCTTATTATAACCAATATATATTTTATCTTACTGGATCTTATGTGCCTCTCTGATAATATGATTATTTTCTTTTAACGCGTGCCAAGAACTTTTTGTTTTCTTTTCTACATGTTGTGTTAGAAATATTGATCAATGCATTTATGCACTAATCAAAAAAAAGATGAATCATATCTCTTTCGTTATTTTTCATCTATATTCTAGAAAAAAAAATAAAAATTACCTTTCACCAACTGTTTATGAGAATGAAACGAGATTAAATTCAAATGACTCTAATTGAACAGTCAAAACTTATTTCTTTTTCTATCGAATAAGAAATCTTATTAGATATATCATGTGTTTTTAAAAAAAAATAATCAGATTGTCAATAAATTTTAAAAAACTGTCAATATACCAATTTTTTATTACTAAGATAGATAGATCTTTTTTATCAATTATTATTATCTTTAATTGAAAATATATCTTCTATTTAGCGCTTGAATAAATAAAGATTTATTTTATTGTCGTGTTTTTTTTCTTCTAGACTATTTTGTATATGTTTCATTGAAATCAATATTAAGTGATTTACTTTAATCATATAGTTAATATTAGAAAAACTCATTCTAAAAATGTCGATTTGGTATGATAATGATAATAATTTAGAATTAATTATATAAGAGTGGATAATTTTGTTAGAATTTCTTAGTTCTTATTTAACATATCTTCAAGTATATATTGAAAGGTATGATTTATTTATCGAACATTTAATAGTAATCATTTGTATTTAGTTTTCGTAACTTATTGATTAATTTTTATAAGAAAAATAATTTAAAATATGTTCGTCTAATATAATAATCACATTGTAAAATTTTACTTAGTTAAATAAATAACATGATCATACATACATTCAAATTGATAGAAAATCCATCTTTTCGTTCTGTATTTAGATTTAAATATGAAAATTTCAGCATAGAATAGATTATTTGTCAACTTTTCAAATATATAAAAAAGACCATATGACTTCCACATTTTTCTCGTTGCTAAAATAGAATATCATACTTGGTTTATTGTTCAGTTTTAGATTCTATACGAGTAGATGATTAGTATAAACTGATGTTTCATAATATTTCATATGATGTTGTAAGGTATTCGATAAGATAGTTTCATTTTTATTTTCTCCCGTATATTTATAAACGCAGTTGTCTTGCGTCACTTTAATGTGTAATTAGTAATAACTATTTCGATTGAAGAAATTCTTGTCATGATTTTAAAATTCCATATATGGTAAAATTGATAAATACATCTGTAATATGAGATATAAAGTAGTCAAGTTGGTTTTTTCCATCTATTGTTAAAAATGATTTAAGATTATCGTTGTTTTTTTTCCGAAAGATTATACTGATATAGAAAAAGAAATTATTCTTATTGTTTAATTATATCTAATAAATTATTTTTCTTGTTTTAGTATTTACCTATTTTGTTAGACTATGAGTAGGACATCAAACAACAGCGTGGACGATAAGAATAAAAAAATGCGTATTCGTCAATTTTTTGTAAGTAAATTTTAATATTTTAATTATACTAAATATTCAATAGATTCAGCTGCGTTACCTTTTTTGGTCTTTCTACGAGTCAGACATTTGCTTTTCTTTTTTTTTTTTTTTTTTTCGTTCTCTCATGATGATGTTGCTGATTTTCGCACTTTTAGTTGACAGTGTTTGTATGTTAGTAAGAGGAAAAAAGTAACTACGAGAAGGACGTTGAGATATACAATGAATACTCATAGTCATATGTCACATCTAAATAACCGTCCGTTTATTAATGCATCAGGAAATTCTAATGATGGTCGAGTTAAACTTTCACCACAAAATTTAATCTTTCTTGCATCTACACGTGTAAGTATAATCTATATGATTTATAAAATATATTTGAATGAGTTATTATTCTATATAAAATGATATTAATTTCATTTTCTTAGACGACAATGGACGATCACTACGTAAATGATATATGGACAAAATCATTAAAAGCAGCTATTCAAGAAATTCAAAAGAAAAATAATAGTGGTTTAAGTTTTGAAGAACTTTATCGAAATGCATATACAATGGTGCTGCATAAACATGGAGAAAGACTTTATACTGGAACACGTGAAGTTGTTATAGAACATCTTGTACAAAAAGTATGATATTTAATAATTGAAAAAATATAT